AGAGTTTTAGAAATTTTATTGCGGAGTGTAAATCCGTAGCTTATACGCCTTGCAGGTACACCCATTTTTTTTGCTAGGGACAGTTTTGATCGTAATTGTTTTACGCAGTTGCCGCTTACTGACGCGCTTAAAACATTCATGGATAATCTGGCCTGGTCTGTTCTTTTAAGTTTTGTCTCTGAAATTGCTATTTTCATATCTTCAAGAACAGCCAGACCTAGTTGGTTTTTATTATTTTCCTCTGGTGAGTATATGATGTTGGAGCTTTGCAGTGTTTTTATTGTTGGTGATTTTTCATTTCTGAGATATGCCGCTAGTGTAGAAATGCGTGTTCCTGGTGAGTCTGGAAGGCTTTTTCTTAATTTCTTTATTGCTCTGTGTTTTCTCATTTTGTTAGAGAAAGGTGGGATTTTCTCAGGTTTTTTTGTTGTAACAAAAGAGCTCCCCCTTTTTCTTCTTTGATATTCGCACTTCTTTTCAAGGCAATTCTGTCGCTTTTCACATTTTAATTTATTTTGCTCCCTCTCCTTTCTTTTTCTGTTTTTACAATTTTCTTTTATTATAAATTCTTTTACTCTTTGGTTTCTTTTGCGAATGGCGCTAGCAGATACAGATTTTGAACCTACAAAATCGATTCGTTTTTAATATACTATGTACCTACATGTATAAATGCATGATATCGTCTACTTACACGCGATTTATTACGGAAATGTTGTAAATTGTTTGTTTGTGTATTTTCGTTCTCTGCCTATATAACACCATTGACACATTACATATATGTAGGATTTATCGACTTAGGGTAGTGGACCCCCCCCCCCCCTCCCCCACCCACCCCCCACATTTTACGGTCAAAATTTGTTCCTTGAAAAAGTTTCTGTACACGCAATGTATATTATACTAGATATATATTAGTAAATGGTTCTTCGCCTAAATAATTATGTTAAATTTTTACAGTTCTTTGGTTTTTGTGTGTAATAAAAAGTACCGGTTTTTAAAGAGACAGATTTTTTTTTCATGGTGCAACATACATGTCTATGAAGGCACGCTTGCTACGTGTAGGACCAAATTAAAGGCAAAAGCGGCACATATTATTTTCGAGTGCAGTTAAATTAAAAGAGAAATGACATTCTTTAAATTATACTGTATCACCTTTGAGCAAAGATCTTTTCTCTTTCTTTGATTGTAACAGTTTGTTTTTATTTTTTTCGAACCACTCTCTTTTCTGCTGTTTTCTTCTATCTGCTTTTGATAGTTTCTGGATAACATTATCAATTGAAGCGTTTATTTCATCACCTGTATTAAAGGTTAAGTATCAATTGTTGAAAGCAAACTCAAAATTTACTACACCAAAAATAATTTAATATAAATTGCCAGCTGCAAATAAAAGGAAATTTAATGTCAACTATGAACACGTAAACGGATAAAAATCATGGTTTTACATGAAATATGTTGGAAAAAGAGTTGCGACGTTAAGCACTACATGTATATGTCAAATTAAACGTCAAAACAAGTAAAAAAAGCATGGTGTGACATTATGACTAGACAAAAGTAGTAGCTGATTGTGTCGTTAATATTTTCGACAAATAGTCGAAAATAGGTTCAAATGAATCCCTTAAAATTAAATTGTTATGTTATGTCGTTTGTTTTGTGCTATAATTTCAAATTATTTCCCCCCTCTACAACAGTTATATTTGACTTATCATACTATTTACTAAAATGTAAAAAATGGCGTTTTGTGACATTTTGACTAGACACAAACAAAAAGATCGCGCTTTTTTTCTTTTTAATATTTTCCTTTGCAACTTTTACATATTTTTTTCTTACACTTTAAAAAACATCTTTTCACTTTTATATAAAATTTAGGATCGTAAAAAAGACCGCAAAATGACTATTGTTTTTCATATAACACTAAATTAATACGTCGAAAACGTCAAAAACGGCAAGTGTGACATTTCAACGGAGTTTATAAATTCAGCAGTATAGGACATAACTTAAATAATATTTACTACTGGAAGATATAGAAAGTTATATATTTATTGTACAATTTTGACACATGAACGATGGATACAAAAAAATGTAATTTATGTATGCAGCATTCGTTCGAATTTTTAAGAGCACCTCATAAAATGAGAAATTTGTGGTTTGTGACAGAAATCAAATTTTCGAATATTCGTAAATTCTGCGACGATCTTTTGGAATATTGTAACAAAACTTTAGTTTTTTTCCTTGTCATATAAGGAATAAAATGATGTATCATATTATTGAATAATATATTTGAATTATTTTTTTTAAATGACTCTTACCTTCTCCCCTTTCCATATTTTTTTACTTTTTCCGGCCTGCCACAAAATAAAGTGCACCTTTCGTCCCGGTCAGACGCGTCCAGTTAACGATGACGTCATAAATGAAACATACGTCATCAGCACCAAAGACTGCTCTTTCTATGCATACCTCTTTTTTTTTGTTTAAGTTTTAAAAAAATGAGAAGAGCATTAAAACAACGCTGGTCATTTGTTGCGTGTTACTTGTCCACACGCTCAAAATCAGTGTTATAAGGGATCAATTGAGTTACAAAGTGAAAAAAAATAATGATTTTCAGGCATATTTGATTTCTACTTTTATTAAGGCTCATTTTGATATATATATTTATAAAATTATCAATTCCGAAACTACGAACAAATACTACAAAGGCGAACTGGAAAGCAAAGCCCGTATTATCACCAACACCGTACGCGACGTCTTGGTGTTCGCTGTTAAATCTTATGATACATGAAAAGCCTTTCAATTCCCAAGTAAGATCCTTTCCTTATTGTGACAGTTTTATTAAATGTGAATTCGGATTTCGAGTGATGCATGAACAGCAGCTAGGAGACGCTTTGTATAAACCCAGGTTTAAGCCACCATTTTCTACATAAGGTTGAGATTTTGATTTTGCCATTTGATAAAGGACTTTCCGTTTTAAATTTTCCTTGGAGTTCGGTAATTTTGTTATTTTGAACTTTACCATGTTGACGCACCCGATATCGCGACTATGGGGTTAATGCGATTAGCACATATTTTATTTTTTATCTTCATTCGTACATTGTTAATGGATTTATAAGATTTGGACATCGATAAACTATTGTTGTCTTTAATTTGAAAAAAAATCTTATGTAAGGACACGCACATTAACAGATGTCAGTTTACCCTTATTGCGCTAGTACTTTACACTCCTTGTTTCATTTCTATCAAAGATGTATCAAAAGGTACAGCGTAGAAAACCCAATGTTTGTAAATCTACGAAATGTATAACCAAATGTTAAAAATAACCTTTTTACCTACTATAGTTGTGCAACAGTGTTCTTGGTACATTCAACACAGTGACTCTAATTTCTAGCTTAAAGACAAAATAAAATTGCATTTTTCTCCCAGTTACACATGTAAGGACAAATATTTAACTACAATAAAATCCAGGACTGTGTGAAGACGAAGGATGTATAAAGTAGAATAAATAGAATGGAGAATGGAAACGGAGAATGTGTCTAAGAGACAACAAACCGACCAGAGAGCAGAAAACAACAATGGGTCTTCAACGAAGCGAGAAAATCCCCCATCCGTAAGTGGCCTTTAGTTGAACCCTAAACAATAATGAATACTAGCTCAGCGAAATGTACGCTACACTAAACTCCATAACAAATCTACCATTTTTTTTTAAATACACAAGACTAACAAAGGTTAGAGGTTCCTGACTTGGGACAGGTGCCAAAATGCGGCGGGGTACAACATGTATTGTGAGATTTAAATCCTCCCCTTATACCTCTAGCCAATGTGGAATAAACAAACACACAGCAATACGGACAGTAAAACTCAGTTTAAAAGAAGTCCGAGTCCAATGTCAGAATAGGTAACACAAGAAACTACACAAAATGACAATAATCAACATAAATTAGCAAAGGACTACTGGCAGTTACTGACATGCCAGCTCCAGATCTCAATTAAAATGACCGAAAGATTATGTCTTCATCATATGAAAATCAATTACACTCCCTCCCATTAAGGGTGTAGTATAATGCCATCATAAATCATACAAGAAAACATAACCCGTATCATGCCAACAACTGGTTTTAGAATGAATGAGCTTATTTCCAATCAAAGATCCTATGAGTGATTTAATATTTATTCCAAAAAATGCCATCTTCAATGACTTGATAACAGTATCGTAACTATATCCCTTGTGAATAAGTCTGATTAAAGGCTAACTGGTTATAGGCCTGGTATCTTTCAATGACGATTTTAGGCAAGGTTATTGGTTATTTTTTCAGTCCTTTCCAGGGCAGAATATTAATTTTTAAAATCTTAATCCGCCCCTTTCCCTCCCCGGCATTTTAGATGGTTGCCCCTTAGTTTTATTGAGGTGCAAATAAAATATTTATTTTATTGTACTCATAGAGGAACTGAAGATAGTAGGTATGAAATCCGAAACCAATGATTATAACGGAAAGGACATCCTAAAATCTACTTGTTTTCCAAATAATTCCCCAATTTACTCGAAATGAATAATCGTTAGGGGTAACAAACTAAAGTTTTCCTTCAACCTTTAGGGTAGAGAGCTATGTTGATTGATTCGATTTGGAAGACAAAGACGCGACAAATAAAAAATGGTCTTTCTCTTTTATTAACATTATTTTTATTATTATTATTTTTATTGTAATTTTTATTGTACTTTCGTCTTATACATGAAATCTGCTACGATTTTCTTCTAATAAATCATTTCGTATTCTTATTATTTTATCAAATATGTTAAATATATGCAAACCTATGCATCAAAAATAGAAATTAATTACAAAATAAGGTATTGTAGTTCAGAGTTTAACAAAAATATTAGTTGTAAAGCTTACACTGGAAATGCTTACATTTTTTTTAAAAAAGCACACCATAAAGGAATTTCTTGTCAACGATGGTGAAAATTTGATTGAATGTTTCAATTGAAACATGCAACATGCAATATATAAGTGTTGATATACAATATCTTAATTTATTTAAGCAAAACTCATTAAAAAATCGATATAGGTTTTAAAGAAATGAAGTCTTGTAACATTGAAATGGGTTCTTTCTACTCTAAAATGAGATACGTTTCACAATCTGCAAAATGCCTTAGAACTAAGCATGACCTGTTCATTCATATCTTCTGTTATTAGAATTTTCCTATGGTAATCTTCAAAAAGAGGGACGAAAGATACCAGAGGGACAGTCAAACTCATAGATCGAAAACAAACTGACACCGCTATGGCCAAAAATAAAAAGACAAACAGACAAATAATAGTACAGATGACATAACATAGAAAACTAAAGACTAAGCAACACGAACCCCACCAAAAACTAGGGGTGATCTCAGGTGCTCCAGAAGGGTAAGCAGATCCTGCTCCACATGTGGCACCCGTCGCGTTGCTTATGTTATTACAAATCCGGTAAATAGTCTAATTCGGTAGGTCACATTCGTGAAAAGGGAAGGGTATTTTAGTTACGACATAAGGAACATTTCCGATATCATCTGTGAAACGGTTATTCCCTAACGGTCAACCAACTCGTAATGGCGTCCGTAAAATTTACGAAGGGATGATTTCAACTTCAATTCTCATATCAAGATACCATAAAAAAAACCAAGCAAGTCTTTAAGCATCTTCATTCGTTGCTGCTCTTCTGTGTCTTCCTCCACGTTCGTAACCTCCAGTACATAACATAAATGTAAGAACGGTTCCAATAACTGTGTACAATATGGCTGCAATACACATCATCCCAAAAGAAAAGCTAAGACGATGAGTGATATTGAAGCGGTTTATCTGGAACATGTCTGAATCATTGTAAATTCCAAAACCAAACACAGCCACGGATATCATAAGAAATCCTCCTGAAAAAATATATTAAATTAAACATACTCAGAAGTGTTAAATTAAAACATTTCCTTTGCCAGACCATTTAATTCTTAACGCTACAGGAGGAACCACTTATTTTGTGAATCTCTGTCCAACCCCTGCTTCAGTAGGTGAGATAAAGTCCCTATAGAAATTCCGTTCTAATTTTTAACTGGGAGATAAAAAAAAGAAAGTTGTCTGCTGGTAGCCATAAATACATGTATATATGTAGATATCAGATAGTCAAATCAAATAAAAGTAATACGGACCTCATATATATCTTTTCTGATTTACAAGGATTAGTTTATTAGTTTGAATAAAATGTTTTCTTCGGTTTTGTTCTTCTAGTGTCCTGAAAAATAAAAACTACTTGTAATATATAAATCAGACAAAACCAAGTGGGTAATAAAAAATCGTGAACAAGGCATAAAATATATCTCAACAAGATAATGACCAAATGTTTACCCAAGGTACTGTTGTTTTCAAATCATTATATTTTTAGACAATTTGATGCAACACTTTTAACTCTTATCTGACATAGGTGTTTCTTTGAAAAAATAGGGTTTGATATTTAAGAGCTCACATCACTAAGTACGCTGTATCCACAGCATATTGTCGCTTGTTACATTTTTGGTACTTCTTGTTAATATCAAAAATACATACCAGTCACAAAGCATCCGATTACAGTGAAACCTTGACATAGACTGGTTCCTGTTTCTCTACATATAAACCAGAGCAGCATAATTGTTACCAAAGCACCACTAATAAACCCTACAGCTGCAAATACCCGTGTTGCTATCCAGTAAGCTACAAATGACAAAATATATTATTTCCTGTTTGATCATGTACCTAGCTTTGACTTTTACTTATGATTATAATTTTGAAATCTTTAGCATGACAGCACACCTGGTATTACTATGTAGTTCAGACAGTATTATAGATACAATGGATAAGTGTTGATTCCTGAAAAAGTGAACCAACGCTTATCCATTGTGTCTCTAACTGAAACTATTGTTCTGATGTCTTTTCAAAATTACAGCCTTTTCTTAATTAGAAGATATTGTAAGTGAGTTTCAATTACCATGTAATCATGTTCAACGATGCATTAATAAATCAAAGTTCACAATTAATCAGTTAGAGAAATACAAATATAACATAACATGTCCTTCTTTAAATTTGTGCACGTATGTTCACTACTAAAAAGTAAAATAATAAAAATACCAAACTCCGAGGAAAATTCAAAACGGAAAGTCCGTAATCAAATGGCAAAATCAAAAGCTCAAACACATCAAACGAATGGATAACAACTGTCATATTCCTGACTTGGTACAGGCGTTTTCTTATGTAGAAAATGGGGGATTAAATCTGGTTTTATAGCTAGCTAAACCTCTCACTTGTATGACAGTCGCATAAAATTCCTGTATTTGTAGTTCAATCAGTAAGTTATTTTTTTATATAAATGATATTCTAATCTCTCATCTGTAGAATAGAAAATTTTACGCCAAAAAAGATTTCACTAAATTCCGTTGCTGATGTATGAAATAAAATAACAAATGGATTAAATCCCAGTAAAATAGATGACATTACATGCAAAATACTAAGACATTTCTTCTCTATAGAAAAAACCTACAGGGTCATGATCAGAAAGTTTTCAAAACAATAAAGAATGTATATAGCAAAAGGAATAATACATAATGACGTGTTACAATTTTACATATATTGTTAAAAAAAACACTTTATTTTATAAGAGGAGTGTACTCAAGTTTTTACATGATCTTTCATCTCCAAGGATGATTGTGGTTAAATTTGGTTCCAATTTGCCTCGTAATTTCAGAGAAGTATTTTTTTAATGGTTGAAGGGCGGTAAAAAATAAAAACAACATGTTATAAATTTTATGCATCCGAAGCGCTTTTCTGGATTTACCTTCATCAGGAACGCTCAAAGCCAAATATTTGAAAGCCAAGGATGTACAAGAACCGAAACAGTTGAAGAGCTATATTACCAAAAAGGACCCAAAGAAATTGGTAAGTGTTAGCAATAGCTCACAGTGGCCGTTTGGTAAGGTAAGCTTAAAATAAATGAGCATAAGATTGTTTAATATGCTTTATTGTAACCAAAATTTTTGTAAGGATTAGGGCTAAAATAAACAACTAGGTACTGTAAAATGTGGAAATTTCGTGAGTGGCTTATTTTTGCTTATTTGGAATCCATAAAATCTAGAATATTCCACTTGTATAAATTTGATCTCAAGTGAAGATCAGAATAAGGTATAAGAAAACTTCAAATTAAAACCTCAGAAACAGGTTTGGTCCTAGAAATTATCATATTTAAATACTGCGAAAATAAAGCACTATATATTATCTCTTGAATCTATAAAGAGATGGATACTTTAACAGATAGAAGTTTGAAGAAGCATGACATGAATTACATGGCTTATTTGAATTTTAATATGTAGATGTACATTCGTTAATTATGACTAAATCTAAAAGAATCAAGATTTATATCCTTATATGTAAAAGCATGTGTTGTGTGACATGTTTCTTTTAAATAAATTGATTGGCTCCAAAAAAACATTTTTGAAGGGAAGTAAATAATTTAGTATATTTCCGTTAAGGAAGTATGGGAGTATAAACGAAAAATTATAGATTATCTCATACTTTGTCCAAATGTAGTACTAGTATATATCGTGAAATGTTCAAAAATGTAATAATAATAAGAGATCACTGAGACTATTTTCAAGCTACAGCTTGTGGAAGAAAAACACATTTTGTATGGATTATACAGAAAAAGGGTATTATTATGTGGAAAAAGGGTAAAAACCCAAAAATAAGAGCATTTTGAATTGATATATTTATAGATTATCGATGATTTTTCAAACGAGAGGATGTTTCTCATCTACACTCTCATCGAAGGGCAACAGCCCCGAGATGAGATGTGGCCGAGAAACATCCTCGAGTTTTAAAGACCATTGATAATCTGTTTATCGCTGTTTTGCCTATGACGTCGTTGATGTTTACATTGACAACGTCACGTGTGTCCTTAGTTTCTGACAATTATTTTCTATCTCAAGCGAGTAGCATGATATGAAAAATTATCACAAAAAACGATCAAAGGAAAAATACACAAAAAGCGATAAACTGATATATAAGACGATAGCTTTGATAAAATGTTTTCAGAATATATAAAGAAAAAATGGGGTCATCGTAAGTTTTTTCCTGCTATAACATAAAACCCTCAATACGCTAAAAAAATTAGATCCAGCAAATATATTTTATCTTTTTAAACATAGTAATCATAAGAAAAAAATCACATAAAGTTGTTTATCTAAATATTGAAAATGTTTAATTGTAAAGTGCATTCCTGCATCAAAATCTGCTGACTTGATTGAAATTCCAGACCACTTGTGATCAGCTATTTTACAATCCAAGAGGATGGAAGACTCCCATGCATACTACCGTAATATCAGAGAAAAAATATACGACATTTACTTTCAACATAAAAATTATTGATTTGTATAAGAGAGGCGAAAGATACAAAAAAGACATTTAAACTCGCAAATCGAAAACAAACTGACAACGCCATTACAAAAAAAAAAAAGAGAAAAACGACCAAAAGACAAAGACCAGTAAACACAACACAACATAGAACACTAAGGACTGAGCAATACGAACCCCACCAAAAATCGGGGGGATCTCGGGGTAAGCAGATCCTGCTCCACACCCGTCGTGATGCTCATTCAAGTACAAACCCGGTGATAAGGTAGCACTCCACAGTTAAATAATAAAATTAAAATTGAACCACAAAATGTTTAATCATCTTCTATTCCTGGCTTTCTTATACATTAAGCCAACTGTTTGTGTCATACATGTGCATATGTATGTAATCAGTATCTTCCAAAGATTTGATTTTCAAAAGTTAAAATGGTAAAAAATAATTCATTTTTTGTGTATCTATGACAACATTCTGCATTTATTTACCATAAAATATTGCAAAAAGGGGCATGAAAATGTCACATATTCCCCCAAAATTTGGTTTAAACTAGAATTTAAAAGCCTTTGAGTGATACCTTTTCTGAAACTGTTGATATTAATCTACAAAATGATCAAATAAAAAATGGGTGTCTTTCGCCTCATTTTTACGTAAAAAATAATCACAAAGTTCGTGCGACAAAAAGTTGGAAAAAAACATTACAATAATTGCCGGACCGTGTTTGTTATGGTTATGAAAATACGGAGTCATACAGAAAACAGTCCATGATACATACATTACACAATTTTGATGTTCCTATTAACACTCTATGAAGATTATATTAATCTTCAGCTATCCAAAAATAAATTTTATTGCACACTAGCTCTCATATTTGAAAAATCAACAGGGGCCAAAATGCTAAACTATACATCTAATTGTGGAGTGCTACCTAAGTCTAATTCGGTAGGTCATATTCGAAGAAAAGAGGACGGAATGGTGGTTACGAAAATTGGAACATATCCTTTGTCAGCTATTAAACAGATGTTCCATAATGGTCAACCAACTCGTGATGGCGTCCGTAAAATATTCAAAGAGATGGTTTCAACTTCACTCCTTGAAACTCTTTGTCGGATAGCTTCCTTGTGAGCAGCAACCCTCTATCAAGGAAATCCTGATAGAATATGCAAGCTCTGGAATATCGTATCAACTTGGAGGTATATGCAAGCGCTGCTGGAATGTTGCTACATAGAAATGGAAAGTTTGTTCTCAGCCGATCCTCATTGTCAATTACTAGACGTTAGTCAAGATATGAGACAGACTTAACTGTATCTGTATCCTTCATTTCGAGTTCGATGGGATTGATGCATTAAACCCAAATTTGAATTATTCAGTGAGCGGACATCATCTATATAGCGGAAAATTATGTTAAATTATAATGCTAGCTTCTTTTAATTTTTCCTAAGTCAGCCTCATATGAATAAAGGAACACTTTGGCAAGAAGAAAAGCTCAGTTAGTTTCCATGAGAGTGTCAATTGTTTGTTGAAAAACACGTCCTCCAAACATAAAAAATATGTTGTCAATCAAGAAAACAACCATCTTGCTATCTTTATTCCTCCCTAAGACAATGTAGGTGTATCTATGTTGACCATTTTGTTATAAAACAAAACAGGACCATTTTTTTTCAATTTGTCTTTTAGTTTGGAATGAGAAATACTTGTGTAAAGGATAAAATTGTTGTTAATAATTTAGAATGGGGTTTCGTGGAACACTTCGAAGACCCAGCAATATAACGTTGTTTTGTAAGGACACTTTTGTCATTTAGGTTTCCTATACAGTGAATGAAGATCCAGTTCTTGGTTTCAATTCCAAAGGAACTTAGAACAGACCTATGATTATTCAGGATTCCCTCCTTTGTAAGAGTCGTTGGGGTATGTGTTGAGTTTCCAAGTGAATTGTCAATACCTAATTCCTTTATCAGGCAGTTTATGTAATGTGATTAACACACAAAAACGATGTTATTTGAGGCTATCTGCGGGAAAAACCATATACTTGTCGTGGAGGTAGGACAGGTGCTGAGCAATATTTAGGTCTTTAAAGATCGATATAGCATGTGTTCATAGACTCATTCAGCTTTTAAATTCTAATTTATATCAACGACTTGACAGCTATAACCAATTCGGAAAGAGTATCTAAGTCTTCTCTTTCGTATTTAGCCCATTACCTGGCATAAACCCCGACTAAATCCATAAGAATTTTGCAGTTGTGTTTCCAATTGATGGATTTAGGATCACGATGTTTTAGGCCTTTGGATAACACATGTCGCAGAGAAGTGCTATTGACAATGATCAGGTTACTAGTATTAACGTGGCCAGCCGGATGATATATGAATTGGGAACTAGGACAAGTGCAACCTGGAGGTTTAGACTTGAAATCGTCAATATTGAAATCATGTAACAGGACGTGTTTGTAGTTGAAAATTTTAGTTGGAATTGGTTTGGTACAGGAATAAGACATGATAGGTACAGACTGATCTTTAAAGTAGGGAGGTAATTTCGAGTAAACTGAGTTAAAATGAAGTATCTTGCCCAAGATGATGGCATCGAGACCTTTGTTGGCAAATGAAAGTTTTAGAAACAGGAGTAGAGTTGAAAATGTTCATTACATTCTCCGAGCTACAGGAAAGACTAGATAGAATACCTTTACCATCAATTTTGTCATTGCAACCGTATGTTGTCGAAGATCCCAACTGTCGAATTCAGAAGTCTTTCTTTTGTCTACGGAGAGTGTTGCAAGATAAGAATTGTCAGTCCTGTGGTATATTATTTCGTTGAGGCGAACTTGCATAGAAATAATTGAATGAACAGACGGATTAAAATGCTGGTAAACAATGGCATTTGCATTGTTCTTTATAATGTTATTGTAAAAAAATAAAAATAATTCGTTTTTAATTAGGCCCCGACCTTTCATCTTTTGTGAGAGGGGGAGGGTAAATAAATTGTGTGATTAAAAAAAGTAATCATTTCATGGAGACAAGTAAAAAAATAGTTTGGTTCCAATACAACGTTTGTTTTTTAAAGATTAAAGTTTTTTTTTAAATGTTTGTTCTGAGATACCAAACAGGAGGCCCTTAAAAAATTAAGAGCGAGATAACAAAATTTCATTTAAATTTCAAAGGAATATAGTTTTGAGAGCCAAACTGAGCTTATATAGGAAGATAGAGCAGTTATACAATGTACATATATCATCTCAAACAGATTTATAGAACCTGTTATATTTCATATTATTTTTATAGGTGACATTAAATAATATCCTGTGCAAACAATACCAGTCTGGAATCGTATAATATATATATATATTCTCTACATGAAACATACCTTAGACAGAGCCCCTGCACGAGTTGAATGCATAATTCAATTTCTGACTCCTTAACATCATAACAGAGTAAATGTAAATATTATGTTAGGCTTACCAAAAATCTTCTTTACTTTTTTATATGAATCTTTCTCCCATTGATACTGGTATTTTTTCTCGGATCCGAATTTAGCAATTAATCCTAAATCAATACAACCATTACCTCCGAAGCACCATTGCCAGAGCCCCAGGTAATGATTTGCTTCAAGCAAATCAATTTGCAATTTGCTTGGTTTATAGTAAACCTTGGCAGCATAATATTCAGGTACACTGATAGTCAGCCAGAAAGGTGTGGCAAATCCGAGAATATGAGAAAATGTTGCAACAATTGTTACGACGAAAAGACATTTGTTTAAAAATGTAAGCTTTTTCCAACTTTCAACATGTGCCATGATATAGCACTGAATTGAATTGATGCCGTGAAGTGTATTCGGAAATTCAATTGGCATATTATCTTTTCATTGGACATATTGAGCTTGAAATTTGACCATCGACATTGTTTAGAATGAAGTAGATCAATGACATTTAGAGTTTCCGGATGTGCGATAGATTGCGATCCTTATACATAGGATTTCCTTGTCCTCTTCGTACGCATACAAACGAACTTTTTTCAAACATATAAAATGACACAAAAGAAATTTAAACTATCATAACATGAAAGAAAACGGTCCCGTGGTGTATTAGGAACTACTAATAATTCACCATGAAAGAATTTAAACTTCTTACAACAACCCCATCAAAAAGAGGCGGAAGATATAATTAACTAAAAAAACATATCTTTCAACTACGTGTTCGACGAAAGACACAGAAGTGAAGTCTGTAACATTTAGATTCCGATCCAGTTTGAACCGCTATAAGAGCACTGTTCACATGGATGACCAGACGAACGTCAATTGTGAAATTTGGAACAAAACATTCAAATCATTAGATTACTTTAAAAAGAACACAGTCAACGACGTTCCTTCGCTCACATTTAATTTGCGATTCGCAACAAAGGAAAAACAAATTTGAAAACATGAATATTTATAGTAGCATCTGAAATCTAAGCATTGAACAACGGGTAACATGTACTTTTCATTCAATTTTTAAAGGCTATTGAAAGAAACATTATACTTCAGTTTTACATGTACTTTTTGGGCACACTGTGCTGGGTGTTAAATTATTTATATTTTATTTTCATATTCGCAGAAGTATTTACACTGTTTATTCTGAAATTTCATTTTTTTTTCTCGATGGCAAGATTTCTAAGGCATTTTTTTCTCGACTTCTTTCACCTTATGCCCTATAAACTTCCTTTCTGTACTTAATTTCTGCCAGTTCAACTCCCTCAAGCAAAGATGACCTTGTATGGATTTGGCCATTTATTAGTTCTTTTTCTGTCATATTGCACTGCAACCGTTTCGGTTCTAATCGAGAAAAGCGCCTCGTACTCATGAAATTCATAAAGTGTTGTTTTCATTTTTACAGCACTGGGCCGATACTGCTTCTTGTGGACTATCAGTCCCCGAGGGTATCATCAGCTCAGTAGTCAGTACTGAAATAATTCATAACAAACCTTTCATAAATTGTCCGTTTATAAATATATAAATTAATAAGAAACTATGGTTTCAACTCCCTGAGGCAAAGATGACCTTATATAAATTTGGCCACCATTTTTATGTCCTTTTTGGTTATATAGCTCTCTGAATTTATCTCCTCCATATACATCTTCAAGTTATCTAGTTCTTAGTGCTAATGATGCATTGCGATCATTCGTTTGAACAGTTTCTTCTATTGAAACATATTGGGTATTTTTTTTTAATACTAATTATTTCTTGGGCACAGTTTCAAATACACATTCAATTAACTGCTTACTGGAATGGCGCTTTCTATCGTCACTTCCTTGTTTATATTTTCTATCAATAGAATAACAAAGGATATAGGGTATCCATCCATGACACAAAATCAGTTCATGCACAGCAAAAAACACACAAAAAGCAAAGGAACAGCGCTTCCATTGCCGTTCCCCATCTCAAAGTATTGCCTGTTTAGAAGTGATTTAGCTATAAAAATGCCATGCTCTTAATGACAACTTAGGTAAATGAGCAGCATAGTTTGTATGGATACGTTTTCAGGATTTACTTATAAGCAGTGTGGCTGATTTGCCACAAGCCTTTAGACATTCACCCAATACGTTTTTTATTTCAAATCGAACAATAATCTTATGCCACTGTCCGTCCAATAAAATGGCTGGGACGTGATTTTCATGACTAATGACATAAGCTATGGACTTTTTTTCCGTATTTTTCTCATAGTATCGGTGGTAAGTTAAGGCTGTATCCTTTGGGGAGTCAACAGACTGGCGACAAACGTAGCAGTTTTTTTTACATTGTATGGTCTAAACCTGAACAAAAAAGAGTAATACTTTGGACGCTTTGTGTCGTTGTGGATTTCAACTATTCATTAACAAATCCTTGATACTACTGAGCAGATTAAGCAAGTCAGATGTTCAAAGACAGGATATCGCCAACGAATGTGTATTCTGGTTTTTATTGCCTTGTTGGCATTGTTGAGTTCGTATATAAAGTGTGTACATAATATCTGTATTCTAAATCAGATTGGTTTTCATAAATTTGGCAACATTTTTGGTTCGTGCTAATAACTCTTTCTTTCTATCATCATGCTAAATAAATTCTGTTTTCTATCATCATGCTTAATAAATTCGGCTTTTTATCATCATGCTAAATAAAGTCAATTTTCTATCATTAAATTCTGCTTGCTATCACCATGCTTAATAAATTCAGTTTTCTATCATCATGCTAAATAAATTCTGCATTCTATCATCATGCTTAATAAATTCTGTTTTCCATCACCATGTTAAATAAAGTCTGTTTTCTATCATTATGCGTAATGAAGTCTGTTTTCTATCACTATGCTAAATAAAGTCTGCTTTCTATCGTCATGCTAAAACATTCTGTTTTCTATCATCATTCTTAATAAATTCTGCTTTCTGCCATCATGCAAAATGAATTCTGTTTTCTATCATCATGCTAAATAAAGACTGTGTTCTATCATCATGTTAATAAAATCTGCTTTCTATAATCATGCTAAATAAAGTCTGTTTTCTATCATTATGCTAAAAAAATTCTGTGTTCTATCATCATGCTAAATAAATGCTGTTTTCTATCATCATGCTTAATTAAGTCTGTTTTCTATCATCATGCTTAATAAATTCTGCTTTCTATCACCATGCTTAATAAAGTCTGTTTCCTAACATCATGCTTAATAAATTCGGTTCTCTATCATCATGCTTAATAAATTCTGTTTTCTATCATCATGCTTAATAAATTCGGTTCTCTATCATCATGCTTAATAAAGTCTGTTTTCTATCATCATGCTAAATAAAGTCTGTTTTCTATCATCATTCTTAAAAAAATTTGCTTTCTATCATCATGCTTAATAAAGTCTGTTTTCTATCATTATGCTTAATAAAGTCTGTTTTCTATTATCATGCTAAATAAAGTCTGTTTTCTATCATCATTCTTAATAAATGCTGCTTTCTATCATCATGCTAAATATATTCGGTTATCTATCATCATGCTAAATAAAGTCTGTTTTCTATCAGCATTCTTAATAAATTCTGCCTTCTATCAACATGCTTAATAAAGTCTGTTTTCTTTCATCATGCTTCATAAATTCTGCTTTCTATCACCATGCTTAATAAATTCTGTTTTCTATCATCATGCTAAATAAATTCTGTGTTCTATCATCATGCTAAATAAACTCTGTTTTCTATCATCATGCTAAATAAATTCTGTGTTCTATCATCATGCTAAATAAACTCTGCTTTCTATAATCATGCTAAATAAATTCTGTTTTCTATCATCATTTTTAATAAAGTCTGATAGAATTTCTATCATCATGCTAAATAAATTCTGATAGAATTTCTATCATCATGCTTAATGAATTCTGCTTTCTATCATCATGCTAAATAAAGTCTGTTTTCTATCATCATGGTCAATAAATTTTGTGTTCTATCATCATGCTAAATAAATTCTGTTTTCTATCATCATGCTAAATAAAGTCTGTTTTCTATCATCATGCTTAATAAAGTCTGATAGAATTTCTATCATCATGCTAAATAAATTCTGTTTTCTATCATCATGCTTAATAAAGTATGTTTTCTATCATCGTGCTTAATTAAGTCTGTTTTCTATCATCATGCTTAATAAATTCTGCTTTCTATCATCATGCTAAATAAAGTCTGATAGAATTTTTATCATCATGCTTAATAAATTTTGCTTTCTATCACCATGCTTAATAAATTCTGTGTTCTATCATCATGCTAAATAAATTCTGTTTTCTATCATCATGCTAATTAAATTCTGTTTATATCATCATGCTAAATAAAGTCTGTTTTCTATCATCATTTTTAATAAAGTCTGCTAGAATTTCTATCATCATGCTAAATAAATTCTGATAGAATTTCTATCATCATGCTTAATAAATTCTGCTTTCTATCATCATGCTAAATAAAGTCTGTTTTCTATCATCATGCTCAATAAATTTTGTGCTCTATCATCATGCTAAATAAATTCTGTTTTCTATCATCATGTTAAATAAAGTCTGTTTTCTATCATCATGCTTAATAAAGTCTGATAGAATTTCTATCATCATGCAAAATAAATTCTGCATTCTATCATCATGCTAAATAAATTCTGTTTTCTATCATCATGCTAAATAAATTCTGCTTTCTGCCATCATGCTAAATAAATTCTGTTTTCTATCATCATGCTAAATAAATTCTGCTTTCTGCCATCATGCTAAATAAAGTATGTTTTCTATCATCATGCTTAATAAAGTATGTTTTCTATCATCGTGCTTAATTAAGTCTGTTTTCTATCATCATGCTTAATAAATTCTGCTTTCTATCATCATGCTAAATAAATTCTGTTTTCTATCATCATGCTTAATAAATTCTGTTTTCTATCATCATGCTTAATAAATTCTGCTTTCTGCCATCATGCTAAATAAATTCTGTTTTCTATCATCATGCTAAATAAAGTCTGTTTTCTATCATCATGCTAAATAAAATATGTTTTCTATCATCGTGCTTAATTAAGTCTGTTTTCTATCATCATGCTTAATAAATTCTGCTTTCTATCATCATGCTAAAGAAATTCTGTTTTCTATCATCATGCTAAATAAAGTTTGTTTTCTATCATCATGCTTAATAAAGTATGTTTTCTATCATCGTGCTTTATTAAGTCTGCTTTCTATCACCATGCTTAATAAAGTATGTTTTCTTTCATCATGCTAAATAAATTCTGTGTTCTATCATCATGCTTAATAAATTCTATTTTCTATTTAGCATGGTGATAGAAAACAGACTTCATTAAGCATGATGATAGAACAA